TCGGATTTTTTTGGTTTTCAAAAATATAAACAAAGTCTAGAAACATGTTTCTTGAGGTACATCAGATCAATCCTAATGAACGTTTTGAATGCTCAGTCATTTTCTGGTTATCCATGAACATAAGACTACAGAAATCTAGTATAAGGAGGAGATGAAGAGGGCTATCCTTTATATCTGAATACTGAGTATCATCATCAGGGTTGTTTTTAAAAAATTTGATTGACTGAAAAAGATATAAAGAGGATTTTTATTTGAATGTAAATGTCCTGATCTTTGTTGACCGAGATGTCAAACTATATTGAACAGTTGAATTGTTGATTGGTTTGAATTCATGCATACTTCGAATGCCTTGTATTGTACCTAAATAAATACAGACATTAAGGAATAGAAGAGAAAGTCTTTCTCACCAGCTGCTCGAAGTTTTTCGCTTCTAGCTTGCAGATAACTGTTCTTCGCTTCTTCTACTTCATCTGATTCAAGAAAGAACACATGAACACCAGGAATATCCTTGTTAGATCTTCTTGCCGTTTCAAGTTGTTGTTTCTGGGTGAATTCGTAGAAGTCTTTTGCATTTGACATGAGAATGTTCTTGGAAAGTGTAGCACGTCTAGCCGTGGACTTGAGTACCGCACCAATTCCATCGCCAGCACCCTTACCATGTTCTGTAGCTGTAAATGTCCAACAAGCATCCAAACCAAAATCGATCTTGTGGTGGATTAGGTTCAAAATGCTGGCATTGTTTTTGAAATGTGCACACGCACCATCGCTAAAAAAAAGGAAAGGATTGACGTCATACATAAACTTCAAAAACAGTAAAACTTACCTCACATAATTGATCTTCTTTACCAACGGAAAATTTTTCTTGATAAATCGAGTGAGAATTTTTTGTACAGTGTACGAATACCGTTGTGTGTTTCATATAATCACTGATGATCGCTAAATTTCGTTGTTCTTTTCCAATGGTCAGATGAATTGTAAATAAGGTAACTTGGTGCTGACTAAAAAATCCTTGTTGAACTTCACGCTGACGTACCAATGTATAATTCATTGAAAAATCTATTTGAGCAACAACGAAAGTCTTTTCTGTTGATTGACAGCGTAGCTCTTTGATATATTCACGTTGTTCGCGATTAATGTGTGTGTGAAGCCAGAATGGAAACCATCTTTCTTCAATTTCCGTTAATAAAGAGTCAGTTGAGCCAGACGTCTGTTGAAGGTCGAACTTGTTATTGACTTTCTTCCACAAATTCCATGAACATTCGTCATCCAAATCGATCATATTGTTATCTGTGAGAATATCTGTGATGCTTTCCGTTGAACATTCATCACATTCACCATTAAAGCACTTTTCATTCGAGACAGTGCAAACCATTTGAGTAATCAGATCTTTCATATTGACCTTGCCATCAATTGACAAAGAACCTGCATTGACACATTTTCGGTAGTAGTTGTTCCATCCCTGTAATAAAGCTACGTTACATTCGAATCAATATACAGCTGGTACAAACCTTCAATAATAGATCCATGTTCTCATGTATAATACACATGCAAGTTTCATGTGGTGTTATAGTTTTTACTTCACGTGGACGAAGAGCATTAAAAGTTGATCTTGCAACAGTTCCAGGATGTCGTTCATTGAAGATATGATAAGCATCCAAGACACTCATTTCTAAAAACCGAACTGCCACTGGTTGTCCTTTAATTTTAATTGTGTCTTTGGAATTGGATGAGGTTCGACTAATACCATCTTCACGATAGAAATTGACTACAGCATCAATTGTTGAATCAGATAAAGGAATATTTCCTCGTAGACATTGTGGATAGGCTAATATCCCATTATTTTTTCGAAGAACAAGCGATCGTCGAGCCTGATTTGGCTTTGATTTAAACCTAATAAGTGAAAGAAGTTTTTAGTAACATTTGATTGGAAAAATGCGAAGATATCGGACGAAATGAGGATAGAATACGCACCATTTTTCAATTTTTTGTCGACCCCATTCTTTGGGAACAATTGTCATCAAACGAACTTGTTCACTGTCATTACTATCAGCATATAACTTCTTTAATCCACCCAAAAGATCATTTGATTCACATATCCTTAATCCATGAGGATTTGGATCATACGAAACTTGAGATTTTTCATCTAATACGTCACATAATCGATTAAGTTTTCTATATACCTCATCGACTTTGGCTCGAATGGGTAATACTGCTGATCTAAATACAAATTTCGTTTCAGAAAATTTAATTTAAATTTACAAATCTAACCTGTCATGGATCGGGTCTATGTTCAATAGTTGAAATACATTTGATAATTGTTCCATCGCTTTTTCTTTTTGATGTTCAAGTTCATAAAAAGCATGGCATGTATCTTCATCCATTGATTCAGGATCAGTTGTTTCATCAACACGTGGTGATTCATCATCGTCGTTTGACTCAGCTGTGATACCACTGTCCATATGTGGATTTTCTTTCTCTTCTTCATTCAGATCATTAAATTCAACATTGACATAATCATCATCATTTCTGTCATCATTGACAGGAGAATCTTGTGTCATTGATTCATCATCACTTGAACTTTCATTGTCGTTGAGCTTCTCTGATTGATGAGTCATCATTTTCTTCGATTCAAATGTATGACATCTTGCACATAACCAGCAAATTCGGGTGTAAGGCACATCATACTGACTGATCAAAAATTTCGATAGTTCGGATGACACGGCCTTTACTCCTTTTGGTGCGCATCCAGATTTTTCATGCTTTATCGGATGTTCACAATTTTTTCGT